ACCACAAGTACATGATATATAGGCGAATCAATGTAATGTTACAAATTGTAAGATTCTCCAACATTGGCATCTTGGCAGCAAAATTTCCCACTTGGAAAAGCAGTGAATGGGGGGGCACTGGAGGGAAGGGCCATGCCCTTCAGAGGGATTTCTTCTGTCTTCCCTTCCTCTTTTTTTTTTTTTTTTTTTTCCTCGAGACAGGGTTTCTCTGTGGCTTTGGAGCCTGTCCTGGAACTAGCTCTGTAGATCCTCTTTTTTTTTTTTTTTAAGATTTATTTCTTTATTAAGTATACAATGTACTGCTGGTATAGAAGGTACCAGGTCACCAGGTCTCATTACACATGGCTGTGAGCCACCATGTGGTTGCTGGAAATTGAACTTAGGACCTCTGGAAGAGCAGACAGTGCTCTTACCCTCTGGGCCATCTCTCCAGCCCTCTTCCTTTCCTCTTAACTTCCAAGACCAGCTCTTTACAATAATTTTTACTACTTATCTGTGTGTATGTACCCAAGGAGATGGTCCCTGATATGAATGCTGGGCATGAAACACAAGTCTGCTAAGATTGGTGCCCTCGCTTAACTACCAAGTCTTCTCTCCAGTCTAAGCCAGCACTTGGAAGTTGCCCGAGATAGTTACTCTTTCCTGTGTCAGTATGCTCCGTAAATTGACTGATCCATAAATGCTTGTGAACAGAAGCGCTTTGCATAAAGGAGCAGCTAACTGCTGCTGGGCTGATGTGCACGGTGACCCTGCAAAGGGAGACAGTGAAATGCCGCTGAAGGGTATCGCGTGGGTGCAGGCTTGAGGCAGGCTACAGGCAAAGACACAGACTCTCCCACAACCTTAGCATAAAAGATATTCTAATGTGTTTTGTTGTTGTTATTGTTGTTTGTTTGTTTGGTGACAGTCTCACTACGTTGCTTTGGCTGTTTTGGAACTCGCTACGTAGATCACACTGACCTCAAACTCAGATATTCACCTGCATCTGCCTCCCTAGTGCTGGGGTTAAAGGTGTCCACCACCACATGTGGATCTAATTCTTTTTTTTTAAATATTTATGTATTATGTATACAATATTCTGTCTGCATGTATGCCTGCAGGCCAGAAGAGGGCACCAGATCTCATTACAGATGGTTGTGAGCCACCATGTGGTTGCTGGGAATTGAACTCAGGACCTTTGGAAGAGCAGGCAATGCTCTTAACCACTGAGCCATCTCTCCAGCCAGTGGATCTAATTCTTTAAACTACTCAGGTTACACTGCTGTATCGGTGATCATCGCTCCATGCAGCTATTCATATTTCAGTACAACTTAAAAATCAGTATTTCAAGTCACAATGAACCACATTTCAAATCCGACAGTACATGTCTAATCACTACTTTATTGACTGTCTCAAATAAAAAAAAAAAAACACTTTGCTGGCTGTGGTGGTATGTGTCTGTATAATTCCAACACTTGGGAGGTGGAGACAGGAGGATCAGGACTTCAAAGCCATCCTTGTCTACATAGTGAGTTCAAGGTCAGCCTAAGCTGTGTGATAATCTATCTCACAATAAAACAAAAAAAGATGAAAAGACAATATTTGCATTTTAATAGACCATTCTCTTAGACAGCACAGATCTAACAAGTAAAGTTTCTCTGGACTGATGAGGTGGGGGCATGAGGCCTTAATGAGTTATATTTAGCTTCCTTTTAGAGGCCTACCTAAGTCCCTTCACTTAGAGAAGCATACATGATGTGGAATTCTCCTCTGTGTGCTAGGAATCAGTTTTATTAGCATTGGTTCATAAAGAAGCTGCTTTGGCCCATGGCAGGGCAGAATATAGGCAGGAAAACTCAACTGAATGCAGGGAGAAAGAAGGTGGTGTCAGGCAGATGCCATGGAGCCGCCCAAGAAGCAAGATGTGAGGTAACAAACCACGAGCCCTGTAAAACATTATATAATAGAAATGGGTTGATTTAAGATGTAAGAGCTAGCTTGGAATATGCCTGAGTAGCTGGCCAAACAGCGTTGTGATGAATACAGTCTTTATGTGAGGAGTTGGGCCAGGGTGACTGGGAAATGAAAGCACAGTCTCCATTTGCATAGGCTTAGGTTCTTCGTTTAGGATGGAATGAGTGCTTTCCCCAGAGCACTTTCTTCCCTCTCAGAATGTACGCTGTACAATAATAATAGATTTGCTCCCCCAAATCAGCAGACATTCGTTCTCTATTTTGAAGGTTTTTTTTACCCCAAAGGAGACCTGGCCACCATGAAGCAATTACTCCTCACTTCCCCATCTCCCAGTCACTAGCCCTCTGCACTGTCTCTACAGATTCGCCTATTGTAGATATAGTATAGAAATGGAATTATACACTATGTGACCTTTGGCTTCTGACTTCTTTCACCGTGCATACATTTGTAGCTGAAAAATACTCCATCATCACACTGGGTATTTGCAATGTTCCATATGAGCAATTGCTGAGCTTCTTGGCTTTGTACTTTTCAGCCACGATCTATAACAATACTATGATACTCCTAAACAAATTTTTATGCAGATGTATGTTTTCCGTTTTCTTTTCTTTTTTCATTTTTTTTTTCTTTTTTGACACAGAGTCCAAATGTAGTTCTGGCTGGCCTGGAACTTGCTAGGCAGACTTGCCTCAAACTCAGAGGTCCAATTGCCTCTGTCTCCAAAGTAGTGGGATTCAAAGGCATGCACCACCGTGCCAAGCCAGTCTTCTTAACTATTTAAGTAGAATTACTGTATTGTGCTGCAATTTTTACCTTAGTTTTTCAAGAAACATTGTTCTGTAGATCGGGTATTTAATCTCACTTCACCTTGTGTCCATACAATAAGGCTATCATTTTTTTCTTTACTTAACAACATCCAACATATAAGAACTACTTGTTTACAGTTAGGTTGAATGGATGTGACCTTTAAGGCAATATCCCCTCGTTCAGGAACTGGAAGGTCCCCTGTTGAAATTTAGGATAAGTATGTGGTTAGCATTTAATTAACCTGTTGGAAATTTTAGCCTCATTCATGTTTACTGAGTGCCTACCATGTTCTGATCCTAAGCTAGGCACTGGGGCTGTGCAGCAATGCAATTTAGTGGAAGAAGACTCGTGACAGATGGATGGAGCACTGTTCCTGTGTGCCTGAGAGACTTGGTGAAGGCTCACACTGGAAGGGATATTTCAGTTCTCTCTTGAGTGCTAAGTGCCATTCAGGAAAGAAGAAATATGAAAGCCAAGCAAAGCATTTTTCCTAAATGAGGCAGGGTATAGAACTATGTGCAAGTGACCTTGCCCACAAGACAAGTAGACTCCATGGTCCTCATTCTTTCCTTGTATTTGTGGGCTGGAGTTCGCTCGCGGCCGCCAGAAGTGAGCAATTTGACACGTCATCTTGGGTCAGCCTCCAACTCTGGCAGAAACAAGCTTCTCTCCTTTGAAGTGAGCATATGAGCAGCTAAATTGGACTTCTGTTTTGGCAAGGGCCATGGCCATGAAAAGTGATCATCCAGGAGTCACAAGCATGTATGTGTGTAAGGGTGTGTGTGTGCACACACACACATGCGTGTATATATTTCTGAGGCTTGAAGAGGAGTGCCCCTGATAGGACTTTCTTCACCTTGCCTCTGTCCTGTTTTACTCCATTTTCCACCCATGTGAGGCTCAACTCACGTCCAGTCTGCTTTTCCAATATAAAGGTTTATTAATATAAGTGACAGAAAATGGAGATGATTTTCTCCCATGGACTGTGGTTCTTAACTTTGACCTGGGATAGATGCATTCACTGTTTAGCGTAGGTCCACCTGGATCCCAACTGGTATCTTTTAAGCACTTTTCTACCAGCCACATTTCTTAAGGGTTCTGTGAGCCCAAAAGCACAGAAGGAGAGAAAAGCTTGTGGGAAAATGGTCGCTTATGGTGTGTTGTTTACTTGTTCATTAAGATAAACGGCAGAAAGAACATGGAGCTGCTTTTATCCACTGCCTATCTGGGTGGCAGAGATTTGTAAGAGTGGCATGTGGATTTACACCGCTTGCTTTTAGTTTTTAGGAAGATCCAGAAGAGGTAGGTCGAGAGGGTTAAAGAGCTACAAGGAAAGAAATGCATGATGGGAACAGTTAGGGTCCCCTCTTCTCCCCAGAGCTTAGGGCCCTGCTACTGTCTTTCCGATGAAATTGTGGCCTCTTCAGAACGTCTGTGTTCTATCCCTGAGGCTCACGCACACGTAAATGTCTTTATGGCAGACTTTTCCTGAATTTCTGGATTATAAAAGTGTGTATAAAGTTCTTGGAATAATGCCCGCCAAATAATATGCACCTTGTTAGTACTAGGGTAATTATTATGTTATGAATCAGCCTCATCCCTCTAACTAGGTATTAAGTTCTTTGTCGGTGACCTCAACCCATCTTTCTCCTTTCTTGGACAGTACCTAGCACAGAGTTCTTAATATATTGACGGTATTGGGCTCTCCCACAAATCGCTTCCCTTTTGTTAGTTCTGGCAGGTAGGGACCATACACAGATTGTGTGTGGCGTTCAATTTGAGTTCACAAACACTGTTTGGCACTTACTGTTTACAGACGTCTGTTCTAAGCCCTACACCCTACAGTAAAAAGTACAGAAAAATAAATGTAAAGTCAAAGTGGCTTGCCTGAGAGAGTCCAGGGGAGCACCTTTCCCAGCATGGTGGAGGTTCACAACCACCCGCACTCAGGGACAGTAGCTGGATTCCATAATGATCCCAAGTTCCCGCCACTCCTGTGACACTGTTCCCACCCGCAGCTGCTTGCTCGGCCGACCCCACTGGGTGCAGAGGGGATCGGAGCCGGTTTCAGAGTCCTGCTGGCCCCAGGTGAGGTGGGGGACCAAGGCCAGGGCAGCAAAGCTCCAGGAGGGACCCCGCCCATCCCACTCCTCCTGTCCAATCAGAGAGCGGCTCTAGCACACGCTACGACCAATCAGGAGCGGCGGGAGCTGCTCCCAGAGCCGGCGGGCGCCCAGCAAGCCCAGAGTCGCGAGCGGGCTGTGGTGGCGCGGCGACCCGGAGGCAGCTCTGCTAGAGCGGCGGCGGGACGGAGGCTGGGCTGGGGAGCTGGTGGTGGCGCGGACCTCAGCGCCGACGCCGGGACTCTGCTCACCCCGACACTGGTGAGTACAACCCGCGCTGGGGAGCGACCTAGGCGCCGCAGGTGGACGGAGGGGGGGGCGCGGGCCGCGAGGTCCTAGCGCCGTGCGTCTCCGAGCACCGCGCACGGAGCCAACGCCAAACGCTACCTTGCCACCAGCCTCAGGGGGCCGTTGAGGAGGGACGAAGGGAGGCGGCCTCCGCGGGGTGTTCGTGGGGAGTCTCCTGTGACCCCCATGCTCACCCCAGCACTTCTTGCCAGCCAATGCCTTCCCCTGAGATCCAAGTCGGCCAGGGCAGCTTCGCTGTCCTGAGTGGGGAGGCGACAACAGGTGTCCTTGGAGACAGTGCCTTGCCCCACCCCCGCTCGAAATCCCGGCCTTGGCGTTGCGCCCCAGCTTCGGGGTGTTCTGAGACAGGACCCCAGCCTGGCCTCTCAGGCTCTCTGCCCGCTGGACAGCGCCCAGGGGCCGCCTGGACCCCGGGCTTTGGATGGAGTTTCCTGCGCGCGTTGCCAAGCAATTTGCAGGTCACCGCCTCTCATTGGGATGGAGAGTTGAAGACTGGGGAGGGCGGGAGGGGGGCAGAGGAAAGGGGGAAGACTTGCTGGACACTGACCTCTCCATGAGATGAAGGGTTGGAGAGAGAGAGAGAGAGAGAGAGAGAGAGAGAGAGAGAGAGAGAGAGAGAGAGAGTGTGTGTGTTCCCACACAGACTCTGTTGAAAGGAGCTGCCTGAGGGCTTCAGTGAATCATTAACTCTGGTTCTGTGCAGCTACTGCGGCTGCTTGCCTTCCACCCTGTCTCCTCCAGGCTTTCTGCGCCTATTTTGCTCTCCTTATCTATAAAGTGATGGCACTGATTACACTCGTTGTTTGAAAGATTGTACGAGCCAGGATCTGAAAAATATCAAGCACGGCACCAAGCATTCGATAGACGCTGGCTCTTACTATTTATTGTGAAGTGGATGGTTGTTTTAAGAGTAAATCAGACCTGTCCAAACAGGCCCAACAGTCATTTGGAGCATTTAGCAGCTTTCTACTCTCCAAGGAGAAAAATGTCAATGTTACTGATGGTCTCGTTTAAAGGTAATAAATATATCCCATGGGAAAGGATGGCAGAGGTAAATGAATCTGAATTAGTAACCAATGCTTTGTATCCCTGTGAATGTTTTTCAGAAAGAATATCACGGTACTTGGTTGAATTCTCTGTCTCTCCCTATTTGTATGGTTGATCGGAGTAATGGGGGAATTATTTTTAGCGTTTTATGATTCTTATTCTTTTTAAAGGTGAGAGAGAAAAGCAGAAACACAAAGGAAATTCTCAACCTTATGACATAATGCCAGCAGCTGACAGAAAACTGAAATTTGTGTTTCTGACTCTATGCAACTGACGGGATGCCTGACTCGGGTGCTCTAGGTCAGACCTTTGTTGTCATATCCTTGCCCATTTGCTGTCTAATCTGAGACACAAACAGATACTTGACTACATGCTTATTTGTGCTACTAAACTCAAGATATCACATGTATCGCTTGTTGGAGTTGTGAGCCTTCTGCCTCCTCCTCTGGAACAAACCCTAAAGACCTCTGTGTTCTCAGTGGCCATCTGCTTGTCGCGGCATCCCACCCCACCCCTGCAGCCTGGACCTGGCAGGGGAAAGGTCAGACAAACTAGCCCTGTTTTCCTGAGGTTCCCAGTGCCTTGTCTACCTTAGGATGAATACACCATCTAGGAAAAGTGTGTCTTCTCAGGCCCAGGGTACATTTCTAGCTGCAAATCGTGCAAGTGTGAGATTAGTGTGGATTTCAGCTGTTGCCATAGCCTTTTTCCTTCCCAGCAGAGTGGGAGGATTGGAAAGCTTGCAGCTGGGGAGGGACAGAGGTATGTGGCACAGGGCAGATTGCTTCATTCAAAGCCAGACTCCCACCCGGTGAGAGCCCTGGCTCTAACTGTGGCTGGGAAACTTGGCCACCCTGCTGTGGTTCTCTGTAATGATTTTGTTAAATAGTGAAGAGACGGTATGATAAAATAATAATGATGATGATGATGTTAGGTGGGAAGCCCATAACACAGCTCCCAGGACAGAGTTTCAGGTCTGTGGCCTCTAGAGGAGGTTCTAAAAGTGAGGGTGACCTTTTAGAGATAAAGCCCAGGTTGAGAGTTTACGGCTTGAGCTCAGGATAGAATGAGCAGCCGAAGTCATTGGTAGCAAGGTAGAAGAGAGGAGAGAAGCCACTGCAAGCGGGGTGGAAAGATGACAAGTGTTGCTGTAGTCAGCTTGGGCTAAGCGACAAGTCACCCCAAATCCCACTGCTCTATGGTCACTCAAACTCCTTGCTCCTTGATGCTGTGCATCCAGGTGGATCCTCATGTGTCTTTATTTACAGTCCCACATAACTTAAAAACAAACCAGCCTTGCCCAAAGACAATACCAACTTCACTTATGGCAGGGGAAAGACGTAAGATGCTCACATTTAAAGTTTGCTAGGATGTGAGCGGTGGCTGGGCTGTCCCTACAGCTTCATGCTGTTGGCCAAGGTCAGTGACATGGTCAACCATGATGTCAGAGACAATATAAGCTTCCTGCAGATGGGGAGACATGGCTGTGGAGATTGGAAGCGGGGAAGAAAACAAGGTCAGGGAAGTTACCAGAGGTAGATAATGAAGAATTTGGGGTTGTAGACCAGGCACTTGGGACTTTATTTTATAGGCAGAACACAACCACTAAAGGCAGGTGTGTGTGTGTGTGTTTGTGTGTGTGTGTGCACCGTTTGTGCACCTAGAAGCCAAAGGAGGATTTGGGGTATCCGACTTACTCTCTCTTCCTCATTATCTTGAGACAGGGTCTCTCATTGCATCCGGCGAGGCTGGTGGTCAGCAGGCTCCTACAATTCCACCGTCTCTGCTCCCCACACTACCGGGTATTACAGGTTTATGAGTCTTTTTACATGGGTGCTGGACATTTGAACTCAGGTCCTCATGCTTGTGGAGCAAGCACTATTACCTCATGGTCCGTCTCCCCAGCTCCTAATGGAGGACTTTAAATGGGGTTTACCAAAGTCAGATTTTTTTTCAGGCCAAACACAAATCTCCAGTAGCATTGTAGAGAGAAGTTTGAAATCGGTGAGATTAAAAGCAAGAGATGGTGAGGTCCTGAGTTCACCCAACAGCCTCAAATCCCCTTCATATGTCTTGAAATAACAGGTCTAGAAAATTCTTTATCTGATATTTGAGGGGCTTGTCTTTTTCATGAGTCTTCCTACAGTGATCATGCTTATCTATGTTGACATTATCTTCTAATATCATCTAAAAACATGGCTCTCAAACTTTAAGGGCATCAGCACTGCTTGGAAGACTCCAGTCAACAGCTTGCTGGCTCCACCCCCAGCTCCACCCCAGAGTTTCTGAGCCAGTCAGTCCAGGGTCAGGCCTGAGAGTAAGCTTTTGGACCTAGTATTCTGAAGATGCTGATGCTGCTGGCCCAGAGGTCTCACATTGAAAACTGCTAAAGGCGGAAATTAAGATGTAGTTGAGAGAAAGACCTGAAGGGGGGGCTATGAATAATTCTAGTGTTCTTGGGGCATTTGTCCTGCTGTAGGCTGCCCCAGGCCACGAGCATCAGGGTGTGTAGGAGTCCTTGAGTCTCCTATTATTAACTGCTTGCTTGCTTGAGGTTTTTGTTTTGTTTTGTTTTTTAATAGAGCCTTATTATGTCACCCTGGTTGTCCTGGAACTCTCAGCAATCCTCCTGCCTCAGCCTCCTAAGTACTGAGGGTGCAGGTGTGTACTACCCTGCCCAGCTAGGTTTATATTAAATGTCACATGCAATTCTCCTAGTGAGAAAATGCAAAGCAGCTCAGAGTTGGAGAGTTTAGAAGCATACAAGGGTTGCTTTGTCCCACCCCTTTGTAATTCTGCCCAGCCTCTCCATCCTGCCATTGAGCACACACCCTCCCATCCGGCTCCAGACCTCTCTTCCTGGCCTGTCCACGTGTTCCAGTCTTAGCCCCTCTCACTCTTTTGTCACTCCAATCTAACCTCTCATGGAGCTTGCCTACTGGGTGGACTTTTGGCTGAATTTTATGAGAGTCAGACCAAGAAATTGCTTGTCTCATTTGAGGTCACCTTCATGACTAAACATCTGTATGGTGTGGTCATTGCAAATTGCAGCCCATCTTTACCCCAAGATAAATATCCTCTGAGAATCCAAGAACAACCAACCCCGAACTCTTGGGCTTGTTGTAATAGGAGGAACAAGTCCCAGCAATTCCCTCAACGCTGACTCATCACTCTTGCAATGACAGAGTGCTTGAAAAATGGTTGTTAAAGAGAAAACATGTTGGTTTGCGCAGGAAACGAAACAAGAGTTTCTTTTCTTTCTTTTTCTCAATTTCAGACTTAACAAAGGGGTGACCTCTATCTAGGAGCCAGATAGCTGTTGTGTGCCCACCCTAATGCTGTTTGATTATTTTTGTTTGTTTGTTTTTATTCTTTTGTCTTTTGGGGGCCTGCCACCCAGCTCCCAACTAAACACGTGGAGAATTATTCTTTCTTATGAATTCTTGGCCTTAGCTTGGCTTGTTTCTATCCAATTTTTCTTAACATAAATTATCCCTTCTACCTTTTGCCTCTGGGCTTTTATCTTTCTGTAAACCTTACTTTACTTCTTACTCCAGGCTTGCTGTATAACTGGGTGGCTGGTCCCTGGAGTCCTCCTCTCCTTTTTTTTTTTTTTTTTCTTTTCCCCTCCCACAGTCTTCTCCTATTTATTCTCTCTGCCTGGCAGCCCCGCCTATCCCTCTCCCGCCTAGCTAATGGCTGTTTTGATCATTATTAGCCCAATCAGGTGTCTTGGACAGAAAAAGTAACACAGCTTCATAGAGTTAAACAAACACAACATAAAAGAATGCAGCACGTCTTTGCATCATTAAACAAATGTCCCACAGCATAAACAAATGTAACTCATCTTCGACTAATATTCCACAACACCCTAATATGCAGCATGTGAGCACATGAAATCATTTTGGGCCCAAAGTTCTGAGTACTGACTAGCAGCTTAGAAGATGTGTTTCAAGGCGAGGAGCATAAAATATCTTAATGGGATATGCATAGAGAATTTTAGAAGCAGTGTATATTGTTTATATAAAATAGAGTGAGCCAAAACTAAAACATAGAGTGGCACTTGAAAAGACCTGAGATTTGATAGAGTACCACACTTAGCAGGTATGTGTTTGATCAGAAGATGATGCTCAATGATTCGGATGTTTGTGATGGTCCAGCATCGCCTTTGGAAGGTGGCTCACATGATGATATTGACCATCCTTCTGGGTACAAAACACTAGAGGAAGTTGTGGGGAATCTGTGTCATTCGACAGCCTCTGTTCTAGGAGAGAGGGGGCATACTATTTGCATAAATTAATACCAGTTAATGGTGAGACCACTGACAGTCAGTGGGCAATTAACTAAGAAGGTACCGAGTGCTAGGAATTCAGAGCCCTGGCTGTGTAGGTCTGCGAAGGAGCAGGTGCCCTGGGAGGGATGTAGAAGATTTCAGGGGGCAAAAGCACTGGTTTCATAGATAACGAACCTCTGTGAACTGTGGTTCAGCCCTGGTGACTCACATCAGACTCCCTGACAAGACGCTTCGTCTGGGATGAGAGAGTCCACAGAAAGCAGAGAGGCTGGAGCTAATGGGTTCTCTTCCTTGCTTAGCTGCCCTCTGCCCATCTCGTATAAATGCTCATGCTCATAAAAATTTGCATAACCTCCTAACCACTGAATATTATTCATTAGTAGATGAATAGCGTGGAACTCTGATGTGACCTTCTTACCATGCTCGTTTTATTAATAGGAAAGCACTTGGGAGCTGAGGCTGTCAAACCTCTTTATAAATAAAGCCTAACCCTACCGTACATGCTGTCGTCTGGCAGACCATCAGCCACTCTCTCCTTCTGAAATGACTTAAAGGGCAAATGGGAGGTTCACAGTCATTCAGGAATCCCTTGGCACTTCCATGTCAGCTGACCCCCACCTCTCCTCACATTAAGCTGGTGCCTGGCTTAAGTTGCTTCCCAGAGCATCACAAGGACTGTGACACTAAGGACTTTGGGCCTTGCCACCTAGCGAGGATTTCTCCAGCTAGCATTATACACCACAGAGGTCTTCGACTGTTAATGCCTAAAACTCCTCATTAGTTTTAAGTTTAGATAATTGCACCCTTTTCTTTCAGGCTTCACCGTGGCTTTTATTGAAAGAAAGTGCCATTTTTGTGCTTGGGTCTGTACAAATGTGCTGTCTGAATAAAATGGCATTGAGTTCTTTCTATCAAATGTCAGCCAGGGTCTGGTGACAGGTCACCAAATGTCAGCAGGCTGTGGGTCTGTCAGTTTCTTTCAGTCTGCTGTACTTGGGAGTGAGAC